AGGCAGAAATACAGAACACCAGAAGATCGATACCCCGTGTAACTGGGCAAAGTTAAAAAACGACATGGTGTGCAAAAGCGCCACCAAGAGGTTCTTCTGCCATAGCCCAAAGATGATTTTCCCCCTGTGCCACTCGGGCATATTCTTCATACTCTCTGAGCATCAGGTAATACCCAAAACACATGAGCAGCTCGCTGCTGCATTGTCAGTGAGCATTCCAAATGGAAAACAAAGAAAAGGATAACTTTTTTTTTAAGGGTTTCTTTCATAGGAGTGGGCAGGAGGGGGAAGGTGGAAAAGATATATCTGCAGCACATGTAGTTTTTGACAACAGAACTTTAAATGCTGTGGCAACAGAAAACAAGATTGCTGCCCAGTCCGGATCTGGAAAATGTTAAATTCCACCTTATCAGCCACTGAAAGAGCATCAGGAGGGATCTGTTGCTGAGCTACCTCACACCAAAACCTATGCAATCCTATTTTTTTCCTACGAAAAGCAATTGTGAGATTCAAATAGTAGTATTTTTGTAGTGTGATGTTGGAGATCATTTTTAAAGGTAAGCAGATATTTTCACCATGGTGAGAAAGCCGATTTTATCCTCATCACTACCATTTTTTGAGCTGAAGGGAACAAGCTAAAAAGCCATAGATTTTTCATTCCTCTACAATGTTAATTACCAAAGGGTAATTCCTCAAGCTCCAATTGCTCTCTTTTTTAGAGAGCCCCTGAGGTCAGTATCTCCCTTACATGCTTGGACTGGCTATTCCCACCAGTAAGTGTCAGTGGGGCTGGACTCCCCTCAGGGGTGAAAACAGCACATAGCTGCTTGGGAAGGGTGAATGCTTTGTGCTGGGTAATGCTTGGCTGCCCTCCATGGGTCCATGGCTCCCTCTACAAATCAGTGCCCTCAGTGTGGCAAATAATCCATCCTGGTTTTACCATCTTTGACAGTGGGAATCCAACCTGTGGGCTGCCCAGGAGCTGAAAGCTCAGCATTTTCTCCAGAAAGAGGAGAAAAGTTGACACAGCCTTGAACTGAGCATCCTAGGTCCCAGGCAAGTATGAAGGCATCCCAGTGAGGTCTCAGATGTGTCAGGTTGCAAGCCACCTAAAGTCAGAACTCAGAGCATGAGTTGGACTAGATGGTCTCTGGTGGTTCCCTCCAGCCACAGTTATCCCATGCCCATGATTCTGCAACTGAAAAGGATGATGATGCCTGCAGGTCAGTGTGAGAGGAATATGGGGCTCAGGCTGGAAGAGCCATCAGTGATGGCAGTTTTTACCTCAAAGCTCATCACATCACCAAAGCAAAGAGGGTCCCACATATGGTACATAGCCAGGTAAGGGACCAAGTGATCTCAAGGCAGTAATATGGAAAAATATGCAACATATTAACAAATTCATACTCTTTATTGCTGCTTCTCTTGAAGCAAGTGCCTTGCCTGCTCTTTAGCAGACATGCAAGTGTCAATACATTTTCCTTTTTCCACTTCTCAGCTTCCAGGACTGGTCAGAAAAAGGTACAGAAGTTTTGAGTTCAAATCAAGGCCAGAAAACAAGGGGAAGCAGCACCATGGTTTTAACTTATATGGCACAGACCAGGCACACTCCTCAGAATGCAATGCTTCACCGAACTGCCTGCAAGCATGAAGGACCCCAGTCATTCTCCCCACAGTTCATTCATTTTCACCACCATCCATCAGGTAACATTTACTGAGGGCTGGGGAATAGGGGGACTGGACCTGGGATCTTTCTTTCCAGGCAGCTCATTCTCTCACCTAACTCCCAAGATTTAAGGTGATTTAAGCACTCGAGGATTAAAGGTGTTTTAACAACTTACATAGATTAAAGCATCTAAAGTGGCTTAAATGCTTATGTTACTTTCAAGCCTTTAAAGCAGCTTAACTGTCCATGGCACTTGACGAATTTAAGGGTGCTCAAAAGCCTATGCTCCCTTTAAAACAATAAAAATACACCTTAATATATAAAAAAATATACCTTAAAACATCACTGCGTTTTAGGAATGCCGTCCTCCTTGGCTCCTGAAAGCTCGGACCAGGTCGCCCAGGCCTTTATCAGGGAGGGTGGCCAAACCATCCTCCCATCCGCCTTTCCTGGCAAGTGGATCTGAGCGCCCTTACCTGCCGGCACCAGGTGGATCTCAGCGTCCTTACCTGCCGGCACCGCGCCTACGCTGAAAGAGCCGGGGTCCCGCCCGCTGAGTTAAACTCTGCGGCGTGAAGAGGGGTGGAACCAGCTCATTAGTTTCGTTCCCAATTAAGCGTGAGACAGTGGATGTTTATTGGCCCGAGCGGGTGCTGCAGGACACCCGTGCGAGTATCCGCGGGAGCGCTCCCGGGTCGTGGTGTGCACATCCCACTCCCCGGCCCGGACGTGTGCCCCGGCAGCCAAGGAGGGCAACAGCACCCGGGGCAGAGCGAAATACACCCCCGGTCCCCGCGGGCGGCCCGGCCCCGCCGCCCAGCACCAGCCCCACCCTCTCAAACCGGGCTGCAGGCGGAGCGGGGCCGGGCCAGCAGGGAGAGCATCATCCGGACCCTGGGAAGAGGACAGGTTTTCTGGCCTCGGGAACCGGTCCCTGCAGCGTGCCCTGCGGTGGCGAACGGGCCCTGCTGACCTGCAGCGACCGCGAACAGCACTGGGGTCCGTGGGCTGGGAACGCTGTACCCGAGCTGGCAGCCTTGCGCTCCGGCGCCTTTACCTGCAAGGGATCAGAGCCAGAGCAGTAATGATTGCTTGGGTCTGTAGGCTTTGGCTGGTTTTCTTTTACATGATCTTGGATCATTTCAAGTTTATAGTAAATGAGTTCACCAGGAGTGATTAAAAATGGAAATACTAAGGTCTCAATAAAACCTCATTTAAAATCAAAGCTTAATCCAGGGTAAAAGAAGTGTGGTTTTCCTGCTTATTTCCTGTGGGCTGGAAACAAACAAGTTCTGGTGAAAAAAATGAGAAAGTTTCTGTCGGAAATGTGTCATCCTCCACCACAGAGAATGGTTATTATCTCTAGTCTAAACAGTCTGCTCAGATTTAGGTTTTTGCTTCCACATAGCCTAGCTGGCTGGATCTGTGGAAAGTAGCATATAGGGAATTTATGGAGCAGGCAAATTGTTTTCTGATCATGCTGACATCCACCTGAAGGGATATCAATGACTCCAAAAAATTACAAGCGGTGAAAAAAGGAGAGAGAAAAACAAACTGCAAAGCTGTCCATTTTACAAAGGCCTGGTGAATAGCCTGGCCATTCAGGGTAAGAGCAAACCTATTGGTAGATTTGATTCCACTGAAGAGAAGATTGTGGACAGAGGCTGGTGGAACCAACACTGGGAGCTGGAAGGGACATTTCCAGCAAGTGGCAAAGGCTACAGCCTCTGGCAATCCTTAGGACTTGGCAAAACAGGGTTAAAATGGTCACTATGTCATCAGTGGGGCTGAGTACCATGGAAGACAACTGAAGCAAAGAGATTACATATGTACTGATTACATACATACATATGTATGACCTGAACATAGATAATAAATGGCAAGAATATGTGGCTCTGTAAGAAATAAAGTACTTCTAAGCCCTTCCACAAGCGATACTAGACATTCAGGACATTTCTTTAAGAGAAAAACTGGCCTACAGGGAGGTTACATTCATCATGTTGGTCCACTGCAAAGGATCTTGGAATCTCTTCTGAAAGTCCTGGCACTGGCTTCAGCATGTGACAACAGCCTGCCTGGGGCAGCACTGCAGCCACTCCAGCATGGCAGCCCTGTGCCTTCCTGGTGGGAATGCTGCAGGTCTCATCTCTTTCCTATGCCACAAGCAGTGACTCACATCTCTGGGAAGCCCAGCCTGGAAAATGGACGTACAGGGATCCTGCAATTTACAGAAGTCATCATGGCTAAGGCTAGCTTCCCATAAAACATCTCTATAAGGAGAAGTATTCAGTAGCTGATTAATGAATGTGGTTTACCACAAAATGATACTACACAGGCCTACTCTTTTCAATAATAATCCCATAAATAATATTACTAAAAATCCAAGAATTATCCAAAGCACACTGAAGCTGCATTGTGATCCCAGTGCCTTGCCTGTTGTCTTCCCCTTGGTGGTAAATCAACACTAACACAATGCTTTATGGGAGTTTCTAGGTGAAGACAGGAGTGAAGCAAAAGTGATGTGCCTATGCTGTGCAGAGCCAGGCCCATGCTTTTAGCCCCAGAAAAACGTGCCAGGTGACAGTATTTCGAAACGACTTGGATGCTACCACCCAGGGAAAACTCCCGTTGGCAGTCGGGGCCATCCAGGGGCTGTACCGCCGGGGTCCGCTGCAGGCCCCCGCTCCTCGCAGGGGCGAGCCAGAGGCAGGACGGGCTGGAGGGGGCAGAAGGCTCCGCTGGGCAGCCCCCGGGGCTAGGCGCTGTCGAGGCGGAGGGGGGTCGGGAGCGCCGGTAGTCCCCAGTTGATGCATGCGGCTCCAGCGCCGGGCCGAGACCTGCCAGCATCGCAGGGAAGGGGCGGAGGTGCCAGACACCCCCCGGGGGCTGAGGGAGCAGCCAGCCTCGCCCCCTGTCTGGAAACCGGCCCGAATCCATCGCCCCTGCGCTGGCAGCGAGAGCACCAAACGTGGGCGTGGAGGGCATGGCAGAGCGGGGGTCCCGCCGCTCCGCAGTAGCTGGGCCAGCGGCAAAGCTCACCTCCAGCAGCCCGCGGCCTGGGGGCGGCCCCGCGCCCCCTGCCCGGCCCAGAAGCTCCTCGGGCTTCTTTGTTCGCCGGGATCTTTCCCTCCTTCCCCGTGCTCGCACGGTAACGTTCCTTGCAAGGATTTCCTGCCAAAAGACAATCCCCCTGAGCAAAAGCAGACCGAGAAAGTAGTGACCAATCCTTTCTGGATGGCTGTCACCAGGCTCCTCCCAGCTCCCGCTCCCCCTGCTATTTGCATACAAAAAAATCCAGAAAACTCCCGTTTGCCCCAGCACCTCGCTCAGACCCTCCGTCCCCGCCTGGCAGCAGGAGCCCGGGCTGGGGGACGCTGCCTGCGGCTGAGGGCAGCGCTGCGCCGCCCGCCCCGCCACCCCGGCCCCCGAGCCTTTCTCCAGCCCCCCCCCCCCCGCCACCTTCTCCGCGCCCCAAAATGCAGCGCCGCCTCTGCGCCCTGCTCCTGCTGGCGTCCCACTGCATGGGCTCGGCCGCCGGGATCTTCCCCTTCGGGGAGCCCGACTTCTCCTACAAGCGCTCCAACTGCAAGCCCATCCCCGCCCCGATGCTGCTGTGCCGGGGCATCGAGTACCAGAGCATGCGGCTACCCAACCTCCTGGGGCATGAGACGGTGCAGGAGGTGCTGGAGCAAGCCTCCACCTGGATCCCGCTGGTGCAGAAGCAGTGCCACCCCGACACCAGGAAGTTCCTATGCTCCCTCTTTGCCCCCGTCTGCATCGACGACCTGGACGAGATCATTCAGCCCTGCCACTCGCTTTGCGAGGAAGTGAAGGAGAGCTGCGCCCCAGTGATGTCCGCCTTCGGCTTCCCCTGGCCCGACATGCTGGACTGCAGCCGCTTCCCCAAGGACAACGATCTCTGCATCCCGCTGGCCAGCAGCGACCACATCCTCCCCGTCACCAGGGAAGGTAAGAGGAAGCCGCCGGGCCTCCCCCGGCTCGGCAGCATCTGTCCCCGATGAGCTGCCCCGACAGCGGGGTCCCTCCACGGCTTTCCGTAGGGGAACGAATGCGTTTTACTTGCGTTACAGCACACCCCGGTGCTCCGGACGGGGGGACTGGGGAGGTGGACGCCGGCCAGGTTCAGGGAGGTTTTCTCGAGGGGACCGGGCAAAGCGCAGGTACCGTCGGGGAAATGGCACCGGCCCGCACCCGTCTCCATCCCTAAAGAAAAGGTCTGGGACCCAGAAATGGAGCCGCGCGGCTCCCAGAGGGTCGATCTCCTTGTGCAGGGATCGTCGCTGAAGCGGGAAGCTGGGGTGCTTCTGTGTCGTGTGCTCGCCTCCCCCGCCTACCCCCCCTCTCTTACTCCTTTCCCCGTTAAAACAAAAACTTCTGTTTGAGGTGTGACCTTAAAAACAAACCGAGACCCCGGTAGCGGGTCTGCAGAAAGGTAAAGGCGCCTCAAAGTACGCGGGATCTCCGGAGCTGGGGAGAGAAGGGGTAGGATCTGGGGTGAAGGGATGGAAAACCGACATTTCCCAAAGGGTTCCCAACGCCACCTGCTGTTCTTTCTCCCCGAGCCTGACGGGGACTGTCATTGCATTTCCAGCACCCAAGGTCTGTGATGCCTGCAAAAACAAAAATGAAGATGATAATGACATCGTGGAAAACCTCTGCAAAAACGACTTTGGTAAGTGGAAGCAGAGCTCCTCTCGGTTGAAACTTGAGAGTCGAGGATCAGGTACAACTCCCAGTGGAGTCAGTGAGAGATGTGCCTGAATAAAGGCAGGGCTTTGACCATTGGGTCATGAAACACAATATTCCACCTTGGAATAAAAGATAGCCCTTTTTATTGTTCTTTTCTGTTTACTGTTTTGAAGTAGTGCTCTTTTATGTGGATGTGGATGTTGCTGGCAAGCCCAATAGAAAGTAAAATGAAAAAAAAAAAAGAATCTTTCATGCAGACTATTGCCTGGGGAGAGGTAGAGCAAAGCTTCATTTAGACGTTTGAGACAGAGCTGCATGACCAATCTCAATGTGTCGTAAGAAAGACTCTCTACGCAGATTAAGAATGAAGCTCTATATATCATTTGACAGAGAAGGTAATGCACAGACAATTGGGGATATAAACTTAATGGGAAGATCTGGGGTTAGAAGAGGACAAGAAGGCTCCTTGGACACAGACAACTGAAGGACACATTATCCACACATTAGCATTTCAAGAGTGAAAAGGAATAAGGAGGGGAATCCTTTTACAATAGGTCAATGTTTATACCTGAAAACAGATTCATAGTATAAGTATCTACAGCAATTCAAAAGTCTTTCTTAAAAAAAAAAAAAAAAAAAAGCCAAACAAACCAAAAAACGCAACCACCCAAACCCTGAAACCATGACTGTGGGACATAATTGCTAAAACAACGAATAGCTTTAGCCTGGCAAATTGCACTCAGATAAATCCTCTTAAAGCTAAACATGCCCCACAGAGTCTTACAGAGCCCTGCATCCCCCTCCTAGTTATTTTACCAAATCGAATGCAGCTGTTGGACCAATTTGCCCTCCATGGGATCTATTCTTTCAAAAAAACAATGCATGTGAAATATCATTTCCTTACAGGTTTGCCTAAAATCCTCTCCAGCCTAATAAATTAAGTGTAGAAGTTTTGAGCTGCAGCAGAGATCAGGTTTCTTGGTTTAGGTACTTGCCTCCCCACCTCCCCTTCAAATGCTACTTTCAGAAAGGCTGTCCTCTCCTAGAAAAAAAAATAGTGCTCTGCTTAATGTAGCAAACCTGCTCTCTCCCTGTTGCAAACAGGAAAAAAGCTGAAGAAAATATTAATTTAGAAAGGAAGGGAAAAGAGGGGGAGGGGAAAGAGGAGAAAAGAAATCCAAAAAACCTCAACCCTAAGGTTGATTCAAACTGAAATGACTTGCATGCCCTTTGTGGCTTTAGAAATGGAGCCACCTGCTGCCTCTTCTGTCAGCCCTGACAGTTTAATTAGCAATAGAGCACCTCCCTCCCCAGGTCCTCTTTATGTGCACTAATGGGAAAAAACCCTCTCAATCTCTCTCTCTCTCCCCACTTCCCCCTCCCCTCGCTCTATTAGCCTTGAAGATAAAAGTGAAGGAGATTGCCTACATCAATGGGGATACCAAGATCACCCCCGAAACAAAGAGCAAAACCATCTACAAGCTGAATGGGCTGACAGAAAGGGATCTGAGGAAGATAGTGCTCTGGCTCAAAGGTGGCCTCCAGTGTACCTGCGATGAGATGAACGACATCAACGTCCCCTACTTGGTGATGGGGCAGAAGCAAGCTGGAGAACTAGTGATCACCTCGCTGAAGCGGTGGCAGAAAGGGCAGCGGGCTTTCAAGCGATTCTCCCGCAGCATCCGCAAACTACAGTGTTAGTGGCTTAACCTCTGGCTGTCTGCAGCAGCCGCCTCTGTCCCAAGCTCTCTGGGCCCCCCGCACCTTCCTGCTTTGGCTCCTCTGAGCCTCGAGATGCTGTTGGGCACAAGACACAGTGACCGCTCTCCAAGAGGGGAGGAACCCCTCCGTTTTTGTACATAAGTTAAAATGTAATAATAATAAAAATAATTAAAAAAAAGACTATTTTTGGGAAGTATTACAGTCTCTTGCTTAAAGCTTGCGGTTTTTATGGTTGTTCTGAGGTTTTTCTCTCTTCATTTTGGTAATGCTGGTTCATTTATATTGCAGCTTCTCTGTATATGTGCATGTTTGTTTTGCAAAAGTAGGAGATGCAGAGAAAGACAGCCACGTGTGTGACTGGCCTGTCACGGTGGGTGCGACTCTTTCACTGAGGTGAAATGGCTTGCCGTCTGTATTAACACTATAAAGGTCACATTACAACTCTTGCATGCAATACATAGGCACCCGTAAGAGTATATTAACCATTCTCACATTTTATTTTCCACAAGTCTGAGCCCTTCTTTCTCAGAAAAAAAGAACACATTTTAGAGCTGGTGGATCTGAATGCAACTTTTTTATTGTTATTATTATTTTGCAAATTAAACCATCTGTAGCCTGACTGTAATATACCTAGTGGTTAACCCGAAAGAGTTGTAAAATATTGCTTTAATTAACCTTGTAAATACTCCAGATGAATGTTATATTCTTGTATATAAACTTTACATCACAGTTTACTCATTGTCTCTGTATTCACTTCAATCCATTTTTGGAGAACTGGGAGAAAGCTGTCCAACTGGACTTTGACATAGCAAAGCAGAATTTGGCATTCCACCCACAGTAATTGGTAGAAAAGCACAAGGAAGCCTCTAGAGCTGCAATCAGAATAAGCATAGTGGACCTCATTTCCCTGAAGATGAATCATGAGACACAGGACTGAGGTTCAGTCCATTCATTTTAATATGTGTCTGTTGAGCTCTTTGAGAAGAGGCTTCTTTTCTGTGGCTCCTTTGTTCGACCGTCTGCATTTTCATCTCGTCTTCTCAGAGGACTCTGCTGATGTGGAATTGCAACGAGACCACTTTCTTAAAAATCAAATCCGTTTTTCCATTTCTTAAAAAGACATTTTAAGGAGTGTAAAAGCAGACAGAAAAATGTCGTTTGCAACTTGCAATTCAGAATAATGGTAGAGCAAGGCTTTTTTTTGTGTGTGTATGTACACTCACTATTCTTACTGAGAAAGAAAATAAAACCTACCTAATAATGGAACTAAACAAATGTTCATCAGCATTTTTCTTAAAAATATTTTCTGATGAAGAGTATTACCTGAATTTTATTGTACTTATCCTGAAAAATAATCTTGCTTCCCAGTGCTGTTACACATAGAATATTCTTCCTAGCTTCACTGACAGGATGAGCACTCCCATATTCCCAAGGACAATATTTTATGTTAACTGTTCACAGACAGAATACAAAGCCAATGCTAGTTTTTTCTTTAAAGTAAAAAAAATCACATTATTTTCATAAATTTAGTGCTATTTTTTTTACCATCAGGATAAAAAGATAAAATTAATTGTTTACCCTCTCCCACAGTCTTTGTGCGCTCACTACACCTGATACAAACAGTACAGTGGTAAGATGCTGACCAAACAAGAAAAGAACAATCCTCACAAATGTCCTCAAAAGTATAAGAATTTAAAAATAAAATGTAACAAACTGCCAAACAGCCCCATTTCAAACTGGCTCTTAACTACTTTGTGGAACAGTATCTGTATTTGAAGGCCAATACCTGGCAGAAATGTCATTAAAACTTTTCTTCTGAATGAACCTGACTTACCAGGAAACTGATTTGAGTTTTTTCATGCTGTGGTGTAATTACATTAATACGAGCACTATATCCATCACCTTACAGAGCCATTAGCATTCAGAAGTCTTATTGCTCCCACACATTCCACTTATCATATATATATAATGCAATACCTGTACCTGGACAGCCGTGGTTTTAGAGGGAACAAGCTTGCAAATGAAGAGGAGCTGGCTGAAGATGAACCCAGAGAAAAAGGTGTGTGTGCCTAGTGCAGGAAAGCACTTTGAAGAGGCAGTTGTTGCAATGCAGTCTCTGGGGACCAAAACTGAACAGCCAGGACTGCTTCACACAGCCTGCCTTACAGATACTAAGTCATCCTACAGCAACGTAAAATTATCTTAATTGGGCTGTCCTAGAAGGCAGCAGTACTGATGCTGATGAGGACAGACAGGTCACAAGTTACTGACTCTGGGGTCATGTTAAGGCCAAGACTACATAACAGATTTTTACCAAATTACTTAAATGTATGAAGACATATTACCTATGACCAACATTGCCCTTTCTTAAAAAAAAACCACAACCAAAGCGAAAAAAAACCCACCAAACAAACCACATTCCCCTTCCTCTATCACAAAATAAACACTGTGACACCAGTAAAATCCTGTTCCTGTCAGGACAAATTCAGGAGAAGAAGAACAAATTAGACTGGCAAACATTTAATTTTACTAATATAATCAGCGTCCTGGATTAAGAGCATCCTGCCATACAGCACACCCCTGCTGATAAAACTTTCTGGATGTGGCCCTTGGCTGAATCACTGGGACTATCCACCCTCAGGGTGAATTGGCAGAGAGAGGATTACCTTCCAGATAAGCAGGATTTAGGCAAATGTGAAGAGTAACCTTTACCCAAAGTTCCATTACCTTGCTCTAACAGTATTGTATTAAAAGATGGGTCATATCCACCTCACCAAGGAGTGTCAGTGTTTGTTATACTGTTTCTAAAGGTGTAAAAACCAGACATTGCAAACTATTCAACTGAAAATTAGGATTTTAAAGTCACAGCCTGATGAAAGTTCATCTCTCAGATATTGGCAAAGAAGTAAACACATACATTTTTACTCTTATTCTTACTTGCTCAAAAAAAAGGAAAAACTTTGACTGTGCCAGGAAAATACTGAGCCAAATGTAACAAAAATTATCAGAGACTGTTACTTCTCATAATCGTGTCACATGTACTTCAGAGTAACTTTATTACCTGGTATGGTATGGCTCACTCCTAACAAAATTTTTTGCAATTGATGTAAAAAGGCAACACACTGTTGCATTTTTCAGACACTTTTTGTCTTTTTCTAATTAAAACAACATTGTTAGGCAGCCAATTATGTAGCTCCCATTGTATTTGCTTTAATAAAAACTATAAAAGCAGCTGACTACAATGGATTAGTTTAAGAACAATAATAATGACACTTGACATTTATACAGAAGTTTCCATTTAGTTTCTCAGACTGCCTTTACAAAAATAGGCATTAATATCCTTCTTTTGCAGATCAGGAAAATGAGGCACAGTGAAGCGAAATAACTCATTCAAAACCACCCAGCAAGTTCTTTACGGTCAAGAAAAACAGTGCATTTTTTGTCTCCAAGTTTTATACTCTAATCACTAGCCCACAGCAATCAGAATGATGTATAATTATAGCAGCACTTAGATTATAATTTGAAAGCATAACAGCAACCAAGACTCCCTCCAACTTCTTCCCACCAAGTGTGAAAAAAAAAAATTACTGCCCAAATTCAACTTTAAAACCCATCAGCAATACCAGTATTCCTCACAGTCTTTTCCTTTCTTTCTTATTTTACCCTTTCGTTATTTCTTAATCCTTTGTTTTCTCCCCCACTTCTCATTCACTTCAGACACCCACAGAGAAGCCACTCTTCCTCTCTCTTGCCCCTCTCACACCGACACTTTTGCCCTCGGTATGGTGTATTAAAGAACTCATGCAGTACAACTACACACAAGCCACAAAAATCCTAATGACCAGATTAAGACATAAAAAGACCCATGTAGGAAATTCAGCAAGAGACACTTAAATTTAATTAATGACTTTCTGTGAAGACAGGAGGGTGGTTAGATGCCACATGGAGCATCACAGGCATGTACTGGTCATCTCAGGCCACTATTGCTATTCTGCAGCAGAATATAAAGATATTTAAGGAATATGTGAGCAAGAATGAAGAACACACAGATAAAGTACACCTTCCTTTGCATGGCCAGGTCTCCCACACATCTCAGCCCTGTTGCTACAACCCTGTCTCCAATCTGGGGCCATCATGCACCTCTCTCAATCCTCTTTCTGATGTCTGACCTCTCTTCAGCAATCAAGGGTATCAACCAAGAGCAGAGCAAACAAAACTCGAGAATGGACCACCTCATTGTCCCCCAAGTGCTTGCTGAGGCATGAGTAAGCCCCATGCAGCCAGCAGGGCAGTTCCTTTTTGGCTGCTTTGGGGGCCCACTGCCATCCTCACCAAACCTGCCAGCTCTGTGAGCTTTTGCCATGTGGCCACAGTTGGCAATGCCAGAGGAAGGGCTATGGATTGAGTGCTACAAGAGCAGTGGGCAACCTTCCTTAGGTCGGGCAGCCCAGGCTTTTGTTATTGGAGCCAGAAGTTCTTATTTCTGGGCTTCAGAGACCTGCCTATGTGATTTATGTAGAAGTTACTTTCTTATCAGCAGATGCAGTTTCAGTACAGCCTGACTGTCTGGTGAAACAACCACAGGAATGGATCTTGTTTGCCTCTGTAGAAAGAGGAGAGTGCAAGATATTCACATCACAGGAATCTGAGACCCCAAGCTGTCTTACAAACATAAATTAGCCTGTACTATATCCCTTTGGGGTGAGTTTAATAGAGTAACATTTTCCAAATGCATCAACTGCTTTTAGGGTGAGCCATGGGCTCCTAAATCACCTCGATGCCTTGGAAAATATTAGCCGCTATCGCCCACTGGAGTTAAAGCCAGTTGGCCGAGGTCAACCAGCAAGCCTGTCACACAGCCAAGAGGAACACCTCAGTAATCAACCAGCCAGCCCATCGCTCTCATGACTGATCAAAATAACCAACCAACACAGAAAGCTGCACTATGAAGCAGCTGATGGAGCAAACTTCAAAGCCAATTACTTAACATGCTGAGAAGCTGTCCAGCCAGAAAGACTAGCACAAGTTAGGAGGTGTGCTCAGTGTCTTACAGGACAGACACATGAAAGAGCATATATACCTTCTAAGACCCACGATAAGGCAATACTATTAATGCAGCTCTTTCAAAACCCAAATGCTGCAGGTCATCCTTTTGGAGTCATTTTCAGGCCACAAAAGTGGTGATAAAATCATGGAGAATTTTCTGTTTGGACACAATAGGTTGCCATTAGAGGCAGAGCCAAAACTAGCAAAAACTGGCAGATTTAGGACTGACCTGAAAAGGTAGCAGAAATGCTAATTTAAGAACACTTTCAACTTTCCAGATCTTGGTTTTCAGAGCTTAACCCTGACAGTCTTCATTATACATAAAACTTCCCATATGGAGCCACTATGGAAGGACAATTTAAGAGTTTTCCATTGATACCTACTTTATCAGGCAAAAGATAACTAATCCTTCCCTGGCAATTTCCCTGCATTGATAGTTAATTTCAAATCCCTAACACTGTCTAATTGCCTTTTTTGTTATGTGAATCTCCACCCATGCAGTATAGGGAACCCTGGCTGTTCAGACATTGAGACAGGTGCTTTAGTGGCTGCAGGGCTCACATCATTAGGCACACACGGAGCTATTAATTATTTCAGTTTACTCTGAGGCACAAACCTGAATTAAGTCAGGCCACTTTCCTAAGCAAAACAATAGCTTAATTGTAACAGGTAAGGCAAAAGTATTTTG